AATTGCTAAATTCATTGGAGCACCTGTTGCGGTTTTGGGGTGCATTGTTATTGCATTTGGCTAAGCAGGGGACCGCCCAGGGGCCGACGACTGGCACTAGCTCCAGATGTGAGTTGAGAAACTAGAGACTCGGATGACCCACTGTGACGTCAACCTGCATAACATGGCGCAGAATTTGGTGGCATTTATGCACCATGCAGGCCTTGATCCACAATTTCCACCGGAATCGCCCCTGTTTTGATGACTTCAGGGAAGTACCGTTGCCTCTCTCTTTTCTTCTATTTTTACATTATCACATTGAGGGCAATGTGTGACTTAGGTGTGGGGGGAGATCAGTTGGGGTGCTAGTATTTTTGTTTTTAGTTTCTAGGGGCTTTTCCTTTATTTTTAGTTAGTTTTTGCCTATCTTTCATTTATTTTATTTTCTTTTTCTTTCTAGTGGTCAGTCCTTAAATGAATACCAAGTTGTGATGCTGGATTGTTGCCTCTAATTATGCTATTGCCAAGTTTTATTAATAAAAGGGTATTAAGTTAATGTGGTTGAGTTCAGGAATATCTCTTTGGTGAATATCGGTAATTGCTTGACTTTTCTAATTTTTGGTTAACTTTTCTAGGCATAGGAAATGATTGCTGGCATTTTTCATGTGAATTGGTCCAATTATTAATTTTAGTTCTTCATGTTTGGAAATTTGAGGCTAGCTGCGGTTATTTTTGGTGTTATTTTTAGTTATTGTGCTATATGGTTGTAAATAAGAGTTGACTGTACTCCGCTAGTGGTTACTACTGAGTAATCAGGGATCCTCATCTAAAGTGTCGATTCTCGCGTCAAAAAGTAGTAATTGCTATGAGTGCGTGGTCTCGTAGCGATTGGAGCTGTGTAACCGAGCTCCTCCATCTATCAAATGTTGGAGTTCGCGTCAAAAGGCTCTAAGGGCTATAGACTAAGTCTTTTGTTACTCAAAAAAAAAAAAAGAAAAAGAAACAAAAACAAAACAAAAAGAAAAAAATAATAAAATAAAGATTGTGTTAGTATGTGAATAAGTCAACTTGCCGGTTTGTGATCTTAATGTCGAGATTTTGGTTAATAGTTGGACCATTTGTTGATAAATGTGAGCAACCATTCCTTTCTCTTAGATTAGTTTGCTTTAAATTGGAGGAGTTGGTGGTTGGGAAGCTAACCAGAGTGGTCTTTCTTGGATGTTAACTGTGATGCTTGATATATGTTTTTCTGGGTATCTTGGCATTATGATAGTTAGAGCAATAGCCATTGTCAAATTTTGGTGTTCAATTGCTGTTCTTATGCTTGAGGGCAAGCATGATTTAGGTGTGGGGGGAATTGATAGGGCATAATTTGTTGTTAATTTTATGGTTAATTTCCCTCTTTGTCCTTGCCAAATATTGTTTTAATTGTTGAAATGTACTTATATTTGGTATTGGACCCAATTTTAAGGAGTGAAGCAGAAAATTACAAAAAAGGAGGGACTTTTTGAAGATAATTGAGACTTCAAATAAGCCACAGACTTGGCTCACATGGTGACATACGCGGACTGCATTTCTTTTGCTAATTGGGAGTGTCTTGAGTACTTAAGAGTCCTAAGAGCAATGAAAGACGAAAAAGAGGAGGAAATATCAAGAGGCCTTGCCTTTTGTACTTTGATTGTGAAATCTACAGCGGGGACCACGGAAAAGCATTGAGTCATTTTCAGCTTTGGAAGGAAAGAAACGTAGGAAGCTTTGAGAGTTGTTTTTGTTCCTTATTCGTGGGGACCACTGGATAGATAACTTGAGTCATTTCCTTTTGGCTATATAAGGACAATCGTAAGAAAGGCTACAGAGAGTTTTTTTTAGCATAGTTTAGTTTTATTCTTTCTTGATTCCTTTGATGGCCAGGACCTCAGTTAAATTACTTGGAGATTTTCTCATGAGGCGTGCCCAAGTTTTCCTAGTCGAAGGTCAATTTGAAGACTCGGTTTTGAATATCTGTGAGATCTAATTATTTTATTTATTTCTTTTATTTATTGGTATTTGTGCGTTTCCTGATTTAATTGCTTATGCTTGTTATGTTATTTGAATGTCAAGGGCCCGATATTCGAATTAACTTAATAATCTAATGCCAAATTAATTGATTGAACCCGTAATTGTTCAATTGATTAATACCAGTGGCAACTAGCATGATTGGTTTCATGTTAGGAAACGTATGATCTAACTTAAACAAACCCTCGTAGCGCGTTTGTTGGTTAAGATTGGGTTTTTCTAATTATTAGTGCAATCGGGTAATTAAATCCTATGGTCGTATTTAGGGTTATTTTTTGGTTAGGGAAATAGTTAACGGTCGTACCTTAACTATCGAGAAATTAAGGAAAGACTGGTTGTTCATCGCGTGTATGACAACTATAACCAATCTATTAATGAGTAATTGAATTACTCTTGCATCGATGATCAGTTGCATGGACCGTGTCTGAAAAGTTGTACCTTTGGCTAGAGTCATATTGGTTATTGATTAATTTCTATTTATTTCTATTAGTTGTTTTATTAGTTAGTTAATTAGTTATTTTATATTCTCCAAAAACCCCCCATACTTCGGACTCTAAAAGAAATAAATTATCCCCAGTCCCTGTGGATTCGACCCTGCTTATCACTATCTACAGAAATTATATTTTGTTTGAGCAGGTATTTATTATTGCATAGGTTCGACGACCTGTCAATAGCCAAAAAAACAAAAAAAAATCACAGAATTTGTAATCAATTAGTATAATATTTTGACCCTTTATTTTTTTTTCAAGAATTTGAATTACCCAAGTATGACACTCTTTGAAATTTGAAATCGTAACTAAACTGAGTTAATTTATAATGGAAGTAACTTTTGAGAAGTGAAATTGATATAACTTTGGAGGAGCAACGATATAAGATCGAAGTCCAATAACTGCTTGCTTCCTACCTGAATTTCCCTATTCTAAGGCTGCAAAGCATGATCAATCCAAAAGTTATTTCTTTGAGGTGCTACATGAAATTATGGATAAGATGGAGATTATAAGCTATATAAGAGAAGAAGAAAAGCCTAATAAGCCATTATAAATAGTAACTTGTCAGACGGAAATTGGTGTGCCATTGCTTAAAAAGTTTTTTTTTTTTGGTTAAAAAAGATATCCAATTAACATCTACATAGGAAAAAGTGCAATGCAAAGTCCAGTTTTCTCATCTTTTCAACTTCCTGGCAAGTTGATTCGTATGGACTTAAAAGAAATGAAGTAGCTTGGAAATTGCAGTAATTGAATAATACCATTGGGTCTTGGCAGCCAATTGAAAAACATCTACCCGACTGGAGGACACCCATGCAATCTTGTCATGATTAACGCGTTATGTAGCTTACCTAATTAGTGTTTGACATAAAATAGAGTATCATTTCTATAACTTGCTTATTTTTCTAGCAATTATTACAGAAATATTAATTCACACGTAAAACAATTGTACAATGCATAAGGGTCGCCCTAGGTTACGTTCTGCAAAAAGCAATCCATTAGAATCAACGATAGTTACTTTTTGGGGAATTTTAAGTTTTAAATTCTTTTATTTATTAAAAATTCTAAAACTTAGACAAAAAATAATCAAGAACATAAAAAAAAAAAAAAAACTTAAGGCATGAACGGATTTTTGCTTTTGAATAAAACATCTATTTTACGTATAGATTTGCAGTGACACGTTCTAAAAACACCTCTATGCCTAATAAATACAGAAAAATGTTCTTTGCTACTGATTTGGCAGGAAGCAACTCAACATTTAAGAGACGGAGGGGCGACGAGAGGAACTTTTTGCCAGTTTAGGCAAACAACACGGCATGTGTTTCGATTGACATTATTTATTAAAAAAAATTATTTATTCATATTATGAATACAATTTTCAACATACTTTTTTTTATTTCATATATATCACATTGTAAAAAGTATTGTAATAATTATTTTAAATAATATTTCAAGTAATTGACATTGTTTCAGAAAATTTTAGAGCTTTAAGGTCGCGCAAGATATATCTGGAATTTCTTTTGCTTGCTGCTATATACTTTGATCATTAGGTTTATTCAATCAAACAATTGAATTTAAACAATTTCATGTAGCAATATGCTTTGTTTAGGTATTTTTGTGGATTTCTTTTTTCAAGTTTCATTTAATTGTTAATATATTAATTTGTGTGTTCTTTTCCTCTGGGCGTTTTGCTTAACAATATTCACCCAGATTCCTTTCTCTTCCCCGTTTTTCCTACACTACAATTTGAAGCGATCCCCTGGAAAGAGGGGTGAAGTGCTCTACTCATTAGTTATTTTGCTCTAAATTAAGTTTTATTGATTACACTTTTTTCTTTCTTTAGCTAAAAGCAGTTTGAAGTGTTCTACTAATTAGTATTTTGCTCTTATTAGGTTGCGAAAAAGTGATAATTGAGGCGACGTCTCTTTGAAAAAAAAAAAAAAACCATTACATTGTCCAAACATTTAACACGAATTCATGATTTTAACTTTTAATAGATCAGAAAATAATGAACTTTTCCTTTAATAAAGTCCACAAAAGGAAGGTAGCAAGAAAACAATAGAAGCTTATGATGAGAGCAAGTCCTGTCTAATATTAAGACATCTTAATTCAGACTTAATCAGAATAATTTTTTTTCCGATTAATTGGTAAGAAAAATCTGTTTCCTTTTTTTTTTTTCTAAAGCTAAATCTTATATGCTAATTTCTTCACAGAGTGGGAGGCCATGCATACTTTAGCCTCTGATTTCAATTACTATCCTCTAACCATTTCAGAGTGCCAGCAAACGGTGGTCTCAAGAAATCTAATTTGGCAGAAGATAGTGGTGATTTTAAAAAGGATGCTATTTTCCCGGTCAAAGTCTAAGCGCAGCCTTTCCAACTTGCTGATAAAAAAGATAAAAATGAAAGTCAATACACGCAACATCTACTCGTTTCCTAGATAATGGTGCCTATATAAACCCTGTATAATCATGGCTTTAGTACCACAACTCAAAAGTATTCAATAACAGACCTTATTCAGGAAAACATATTTCAAAACTTCATATCAATTGATCATCAGAAATCAAGACAAAGGAAGTGTAGCTTCAAGAAATGGCAGCAAAAAGCAATGTCACAAATGATCTCAGCCGTGCCGATTTTGGAGAGGACTTCATCTTTGGAAGTGCATCGGCTGCTTATCAGGTAAATTAAGTCTTGTTCCTGCTTAATTATTGTGAACAATATAGGTTTTACAAATTTAATATTGCTACTTCTTGTAGTCAGTGGCGGAAGTAAGGGTGCAGGGAGGGGCAAGTGTCCCTTAAGAATTTACAAAATTCTTTTGTGTACCTTTAAAAAATTTGAAGATTTTCACACATATCTTTGTAAAATTTAGATCGTGCCCGCTTAAAATTTTAGAAATTTTTTTATATCCTCTTAAAAAAAATTAATATTTTCACTTATACATTCGACCAAATTATCTTTGCCCCCTAAGCTTTTTGCAAAAGATGCAAGATAGCTCCTTTGGCGCCCAACATCCCCACATGGTTCCGGCAGTGACTGTAGTGCAGATGTCTTATTTGCGTGAGACAATTATTATCTGATTTTAATACAACATTCAATTTTACCTGAAAAAGAAAAGTTATATAAGTCCTGCTAATTTTGGAGATAGTTTCTCAAGTCATGGATTGGTTAAAAAATGAATGCTTTCTTGTTATCACAATATTTTCCTTTTGTGGGTGATAGATGGAAGGTGCTGCAGAAGAAGGTGGTAGAGGCCCTAGTATATGGGACAAATTTACTGAACAAAGACCTGATAAAGTGGTCGATGGAAGTAATGGAAATGTGGCTATTGATCAATATCATCGTTACAAGGTAAAGCTTTTCAACTTATAAAGTACCGTGATCTATATATGATTACTAAAAAGAGAAACTTATACAAATTAAAGGATGCATGAATAGTTGAATATTAAATTTGAGTGAAAAATGAGCACGACCATTTAGTGCTACTAATATTCAAGCTTTTCAATAGTGCAGGAAGATGTCCAAATGATGAAGAAAATTGGCTTGGATGCATACCGATTTTCAATCTCCTGGTCTAGAGTACTGCCTGGTAAGCAAGAAGAATACAATGGTCAAACAAGAGAAAAATGAACATTTGAAATATCTTCACGCGAATATACTAGGACAAAATCTAAGGCACACATGTTATACTTTCAACCACAAACGAGCACTTGAATAAGAAGCCTCTGATCCAAACTGAAATAACAGGTGGAAGACTAAATGCTGGTGTGAACAAAGAAGGAATACAGTACTACAACAATCTTATCGATGAGCTCTTGGCAAATGGTGAGTTCTTTTTTATTTGTTTTTTATGGAAGTTCAATAAAAAGTCTCCCAAGGTATTGGCAGGAATTGTGTGGAAGGCATTTCCTATACATTACTTTTTATTGTAAGAGTACAAAAAAAAGTGTGTGTCTTTTATGAAAGTCGTAAATTTTGCGACAATTTCTAGGTAATTTAAGCGTCCAAACATAGCATTAGCCTTTTTTTTTCTTTTTTTGGGAGTCGAATTAACCCCATGCAATATAAACACACTATTGCAGGTATCAAGCCTTTTGTGACTCTTTTCCACTGGGATGTACCCCAAACTTTGGAAGATGAATATGGCGGTTTCCTCTGTCGGAGAATAGTGTAAGTGGTGTAATTCGGTCTTATATAATTTCATCAACTGTTTAATAACATATTGCTCCATATTAAATACATGAAATATGTGACACGGGAGCAGGAAGTTTCATATGCTATGAGAGAGAGAGAGGAGATTCGTATACCATGTTCGTAGCCATCAGGTGATTAGGACATTACACTAAACTAAATTTAAACTAATGCAAATGGTGCATTGTATATAGGAGTACGTCAGAAGATATATCAAAAGTGATCTACACAGCACGAAAGCTAAATGTTGATATACAATTCGGAGTACCCAACTGGCAATTTAGCCTACATAATTGTTCCATATGAAATTCTTTTCTCTAACTTTATATTTACCTTCTCTGGACTAATAATTTCTTTCTGAACAGTGATATACTTCCCTTGACTATTTTTTTGTTAGGCATGTCATGTCTCCCTCCTCAGCTAATTGTATAGTAAGCCTACTAATGTAAAGTATTTTACTCAGGAAATAGTATTTAAAATGTTAATTAGGGCAGCTTTGAACAATAATATATCTGAAAGGCTCATCTTAGCTACCAATAAACGGTAAAACCTTCATTTGTGAATTAGATCAAGGAAGCCTAAAATATTCCTACATGTTTACAAATTTTTAGATCTTTTATGTGATTCTCTCACTACAAGAAATATATTTTTCAGTGACAAAAATTTATGTGACAACAAAAATCTTGTCACAGATAACCTAATTCAGTGACGACATTAGGTGTCATCACTGATGAGTACAGCACAAGCATAATCAGTGACAACATTGGAAGTTGTCATTCTCAACTCGTCACGAAATAGTTGGCGCGCATCTCATTTGATGCCGCGGGAAATGATTTTATGACAACTCAAGTAAAGTCGTCACAAATGCTCTCTCTACAGTGACAACATAACTTGTTGTCATTGAAGGTCTACCCGATTCCAATTTTGTGACAACTTTTTGCATCACTGTATACTACAGTATTTTCATCAACTTTCACTAATTCTACTATGACACCCTAATTTTATTTTTTAGCCTCCAATTCTTTTATATTAGCAAAAGCACCGAAGATATGACACCCTAATTTTATAATTTAGCCCCTATTCATTACGTATTAGCAAAATGCAAATGATATAATAACAAACTATTTTTAGATATTTGTAATTTTTGCTAAGTTGACATAATAGACATGTCTGAGCATAAAAATTTTTTCACAAATTTTTTATTATTCCTTATAACAACCCCCAAAAATCAATAACTGAAATAATTTGAAAAAGTGTAATTGAATATAATTTGTAGTCTAATGTTAGCACTGTGAAAGATTAGTATAACGTGTAATACATCATAAGTAATAATTATTTTCATATGGAATGGGTATATACGAAATTAAAATTATTCAGTAAAATATCTGTCGTGCAATAAGATTGAGAGTTGTAACACATTTAACAGAATATTTGATTACATGTTTCTTTTAATTTATTATAAAAACTAAGTAATAGACAAAGGGTAGGATAAGCATGAGTAAGAAGTGCTATACTGTATATAAGCAATTCTATAGTATTTTCATCAAATTTCACTAATTCTACTATGGCACCCTAATTTTATTATTTAGCCCCCAATTCTTTTATATGAGCAAAAGCACTGAAGATATGACACCCTAATTTTATAATTTAGCCCCTATTCATTACGTATTAGCAAAATGCAAATGATATAATAACAAACTATTTTTAGATATTTGTAATTTTTGCTAAATTGACATAATAGACATGTCTGAGCATAAAAATTTTTTCACAAATTTTTTATTATTCCTTATAACAACCCCCAAAAATCAATAACTGAAATAATTTGAAAAAGTGTAATTGAATATAATTTGTAGTCTAATGTTAGCACTGTGAAAGATTAGTATAACGTGTAATACATCATAAGTAATAATTATTTTCATATGGAATGGGTATATACGAAATTAAAATTATTCAGTAAAATATCTGTTGTGCAATAAGATTGAGAGTTGCCACACAATTAACAGAATATTTGATTACATGTTTCTTTTAATTTATTATAAAAACTAAGTAATAGACAAAGAGTAGTATAAGCATGAGTAAGAAGTGCTATACTGTATATAAGCGATTCTATGCATGTTAAATTTTTGAAACATGTTTTATTGTGTAAGTTTTATTGTAAGATAATTTCTTAAATAATTTGTATATTGAGTTGTCCAAACCCAAAAAGATGTATATAGACACAAACAAGCACACATATATATACATGCACAAAAAAGAAACCAATATCAAATAATTTATTTGATATTTATAGATGAGATTAAGGAAAAAAAAAAGAGATTAAGTATGAAAAAAGAAACCTGAAAAAAAAAATGGCTAAAAAAAAAGAAAAAAGATGTATGAAACAAAAGGCGTGAATCCTGGAATCTCAAAGACGTGCTTAGATGCCAAAAAAAAAAGAGCGCCAGTCTGAAATCTGAAAGAGGCGCGAGGCGGGTGGCTGAAATCTCTACAAAACGACGTCGTTTTGGTTGTTCACACACAAACAAAAGTCTCGCCGCTTCTCTCTTCCAACACTTAGACAAATTTAGGCTAGGTTTTAGAGGAGAAAAAGAGAAACAGAAGAGCAGAGAAGCGGCTAGGGTTCTTGGAAGGGAGGCCTTAAGCGTGAAAAGAAAAAAAATAGAGTGAAGGAAGAGTGGCGGCTGACAGGAAGATCAGGAGAGAAAGACGCGGCAACGGACAGAGGAGGAAGAACCAGGTCACCACCAGTCCGCGTCCGCTCTGCTGCTGTCTGCCATCGCCAACACCGCGCACAACCTCCTGGGCTGCTGCCGTTCTCTGTAACACTAGATGAACGCTCTCGGACGAAGTCAGACCTAGTCATCTTCCAATTCCAACTCACCGTCTTCGGCTTCGTCATAATCGCCGTCGCCACCGCTCAAGTAAGAGCACTATAAGTCGCCCCTTTTTCTTTGAATTTCAGTTCCTTCCCAAGTCCTCTAAGCATGTCTGCCATGGCTTCGTTTATTGCAATTGCCCCGTTGATTGTTCAAATTTTAGCATGCGCATGTTATATCATGATTGAATTTCAAATCCCTTGTACTTCTGATGATTTTGGGGCCAACCGTGGCTTCATTTGAGCAAAGAATTGCTGGAATTTTTCATGTTCGTTTACTGTTTGTTGAAATGCCCAAGTGGTCTAACAGCAGAATTGATCCTTAGAAATTCCTTTACTGAAGGGAATCAATATGTTGGGCTAAACGTTGGCAGGTATGGTTGGTGGTGGACAGAAGTCCTGGAATCCCCCAGCACACCAAGCAAATTGGCAGGTAGCAAACTTTTCAAGACTTGAAACTTGTTTTCTTTCAAGCTAATAATAATTTGCCTTAAAAACTTAATAATTAGTTTACAAATCCCAAAGTTCACTTGCTGTTTAACGTGAACAAAGAGTGGTATTAGAGCTGATCACGGGTGTTAATATGCAAAACCTTTGTCAGCAATTTTAAAGTTTTCAAACCTATATTTGGTCAGCAATTTTAACATTTAGTTTCCTTTGAACATTCACGGAGGTTCACTTTTATTTGATGTGACATGATTAAACTTTCTCTTTGAATGGTAGGACTGATCACATATTTGCTGCATTATTTGTGCTGCTCTTGGTTTTGTTGGTTAGTGTCTCAGAACTTTTTTGTTCAGGATCGTCCTAATTTGCTGCTAGTTGTAGAGTGGTACATGGGAGGATAATTGTTTAGCATGAAACAGTTATTCCCTTGGTATGATGCTGGATGCTTTCACTAGAATCTCATTGGGTTACAGATTTTTCAGTTTTAAATTTAAGTGCTTGTTTATGCATTTCAATCCTTCCAGATATTGTCAGCTCATGTAGCTAAAATTAAGTCTCTGTAAAAATTAGTTGACACTTGTACTCTTTTGAGCTAGCCAAAATTCTACAAAATTTGACAGTTAATATGCTTCCATTAAATTTGATATCCATGTTACCCCTAGTTTCTATAACTGCTTGGACTGTATATTAGTGTTAAAACAAACTTAAAAGATTCTTAAAGCCTTCTGAAAATGCCTAATACGAATGCATTTGACCTAATTAACGGCATCAAAGTTGTATTTTCCCTTTTTCCTCATTATGTGCCAAGTCATTTTTTCTGACAGCTTGTGTTCCCTTCTTTTGAAACTTTTACGAGTTTGTTATGTTGTGTCTTGAACAATTTGCATCTTTGACTATTATTTCTCATCTAATCATTCATATTTACAAGCTTAGGCTTTTGGCATTTTGCTTGTAGGGAGATTGTTCATCGCCCATGCAAGGAGTGCCACTTGGTCAGAATCTGATTCCGGATTCAGCTTATTATGGCAAAGGAAGTTTATGGGAGCAGAAATCTCTTTCTGCACTTCTTCAATCTGCTGCAGATCCATTTTACATGAGGCATGATGGGCAAGAAGACGAAGCTGTGGAAAGGGACGTGCAAAAACTGCGACAAAATGTAGAAGCCGGATATATGATGAGTTACAAGGCTGAGAATGGTATGCCTTCTGCAGGGTCTGGAAACTGCTCTTTGGTTCTGAAGCAGCCACATCTGAGTGGAATCCAAGCAGAAGAAAGCTTGAAGAAAGTGGACAGCTTCTCCCGATGGATGGCTAAAGAATTAGGTGAAGTTGAGGAATTGCCTTTGCAATCAACCAATGGATACTCATGGAGTGTGATACAGACTGAGGATGTGGTTGGTGATTCCTGTACTCCCACCCAGCTGCAACTGGATGCAGACACATTAAATTTCTCACTCTCCCAAGATCAACTATTTAGCATCACTGATTTTTCACCAAATTGGGCTTACTCAAGGTTGGAGACCAAGGTATATTTGAAGGGACTATACCGTAAGAACATTTTTACAATCTTGACAAACCAGTTCTCTGGAATTAATGTTTCATTCTTAGTCTATGCCTTGAATTTCACTTCGTTTCAATCTCTCTACTTTTTGTAATTTTAGCCCCTTAGACACAGATCAAAAGGATATATGGTTGCAAAGTTCAGTAATAGATTGAAATAACATGCATGTCTTTGTAAATGCACCTTCTGAGCTTTGTGTTCTGTTGATCTCATTGATTATGCCTATCCAGCTGCAAAACTAATGGATGCACCTGGACAGAGGTTGTCCTGTTACTCCTGTACCTTACTACCATGGAAACATTTTTGTATACTAATTTACCCTGAGCTGCTGATCATGACACTGGCAGTCAAAGCACATTGAGATGTAATAGATGGGATTGGTTTAGGTTCCTTTGTCCTGTCATCTCTCAAAATGCGTTATATTGCATCTACTGCTCCAAGTGGAAGTGTAATTTATCTACAAATATTTTTAGCATAGCTATTTCATCTCTTAATTGCTAAAGACAGTCAAAGTTATTATATGTGGCA